AAAGACCCTCTGGTTAAACATGAAGATCAACTAGAGCCATTCTGGTCTTTATCATGGATTGGAATATTATTCCAAGGTTCAAATAAACAACCAGAAAACAAAGTCATTCAGAAGCCAGACCAAGCTTGATAAGTTGTTTTTGATAAGTCAGAATGGAATGAATTCTTAAAAACAAATTGATCTCTATTTTAGGAAAGGTATAAGCAGACTGTTTAATCAGAAATATAACACTGAAGTATAACTCTGAAGAATGACTCTTCAGACCTGTAATCTTGAAATAACTCTGAAGTAAAACTCTGAAAAATGACTCTTCGGACTTGAGTTCCAGTTACAACCACAGACCCTCTCGTTAAGCATGAAGATCAACCAGAGCCCCTCTGGTTCCTTTATCATGGATTGGAATATTTTTTCAAGGTTTAAATGAACAACCAGAAGCAAAGCCATCCAAAAGCTAGACCAACCAGAGGGGCTCTGCTTACAAGGCTAAGTCTAAGTCTTAAAGACTTATCTTCAAAGTCTAGATAAGTTTATCATTAGGGTAAAATAAGGGTAAAAAGGTAATTTCATTTTCAAGCCTTATAAGTTGTTTTTGATAAGTCAGAATGGAATGAATTCTTAAAACAAATTGATCTCTTTTTAGGGAAGGTATAAGTAGACTGTTTAATCAAAAATATAACTTTGAAGAATGACTTTTTAGACTTGTACTCTTGAAATAACTTTGAAGTAAAACTCTAAAGAATAACTCTTCAGACTTATACTCTGAAGTATAACTCTGAATAATAACTTTGAAGAATGACTTTTTATACTTGAATTTAGAAAAGAAACTATATTAATAATTAGTTAAAATGTATTAATAATTAGTTAAAATGAAGTTAACCCTAGAATAAAATTGAATTTAGAAATGAAATTATATCAATAAATTGAATTTAAACTTAAAAGTAAATCCTGTGTTTTTCGGGAATCAGTTACCACACGAATTAATTAACCCAAAAATAAAATCAATTGCATCCTAAATTAGTGGGATTGATTGAATAAGAGAACACATGTCAATCAAATGAATCTAATTAAACTGCTAATGTAAATTGTATCTAGTTACGTGTTTAGGCGGGAAAAACACTAAAATCGGCTCACCAAAAGATGACACGTGTCACGCCAGTTACTTATTTATTATAAGCATAGATATGCGACAAATGACTCATATGCCCTTTAGTATATTTTATTTAAGACATGAATCAAATAAATGATTGACTAAGGGGTCGTTTACCAAACATTTACCTGATAAGCGTTTATCGGTAAATTTAACACTATCATTTACTTACCGGATAAGATTTTTAGTCCACCAAAATGATATCCAATTCTCTACGACGTCTAGACGATAAAATCGATACAGAGGTGCGCTTGAAGTGGGGGGGGGTGTGTTGTATGCAACAATTTATCCGGTAAGCGCTTACCATGGTAAGAGTCGTCGCCCTCACTTACCGAGTAAGACTCTTGGTCATTCACTCGCTCTTAACGGTAAGATTTTTTATTCTTATCATATTCATCCGGTAACGTAAAATGACTTGGTGTTCACTTACCCGAGTAAGCGTTTGGTAAACAGCCCCTAAGATTTATCATTTTATTAAGGAGGTGTTTGGAATTGCTTATTTGAAACAACTTATGTTTTTCTATAAAAGCAGTTATCAATTTATTACAAGTCAAAAGGGTTTAACTCTTTAAAAAACGCCTTATTACCGGTTTGACACCGGTATAAGTTGTTTATCCAAACACTCAAAAGTGCTTATTACCGGTGGCATACCAGAATAAGTCAATAAGTTATTTTTATAAACATTTCCAAACACCCCCTAAAATAACATTCTCGTTTGAACCTCCATGTATATATGTGTGTGTATGTATATATATATATATATATATATATATATATATATAGAGAGAGAGAGAGAGAGAGAGAGAGATTTTCTTTTGCAAATTGTCCAAATGTTACAAACCCTACAAACATGTGCATTTTTGTTTTTTTTAAATGATTCATATTTATAGAATAACTCTCTTCCTTAAATATCTCATATCATACCATATTTAATGGATTTATTTTAGGGATCATCTCTTCCTTAAAAATCTCAATCGGTTGTTATAACTGATTTCATTATCCTCTCTCCAACCATCTTCGGTTGTAACCGTTTTGTTTCCTTATGAAACCAAACCATTTATTGATTCTATCAATTAATGCGGAGAGACTAATACATCAAATGGATAGAGATTTAGATACACAAAATATTAAAAAGGAGTTGCATGTTATTTGATATTAGAAGGGTACTTGTGTAATGCAGTGAAATATATCTTGATTTTAATGTTTCGTTTTATTCTGTCTCTGTAGATGTTATAATATGGTGCTTATGTGGTCTTGAGAAAGGGATAATGTTTTTATTTTTAAATAAAATATAAATTGGAAGATATCATAAAATTTTAAAAATAAATATATCAATATTAGTATCAAATTAACTATTTAAAATTTCTTATTTTTTTATGTAATTCTTTTAATTCAATTTTTTTATTATAATTTAATTTATATTTAATAACGAAGTAATTTATTTTTTATTTAATAATATATTTTTTATAAGAATAATAATTAAGTATCCTATTAGAACTCAATGATATTTTAAATGAAATATTTATCATGTGTTTTATTATGTTTATTTGCAGTTAGTTACACGAATTCAAGCATGGAGCTTTAATAAGTTGTATGCACAATTTACTTGTAATCTTGAATTTTAAGTAATATGCATCAATAAACAGTATTTCATGTTTAAAAAATGGTCTTTAAGAGTTTTTATCAAATGCTTTATAATAATTTTTGAAATAATCTAATTACATATGAACCCGTATGATACTATGATTCATATATGTAATTAACTGATTCATATATGAACTCGTGCGATTCACATATGAACTAATTAATCAATTCATATATGAACTATGAGTTCACATATGCACTTGTTTGTCTCATGTTTGTAAAAGTTACTAAACTACCTCTCTATTTTTCATTTGACCAGTCAAATCTGCAATTCTTGACCAATCTTAACCATATGAAAGACTATAATCACTTCTTTACTTCTCAGATACTTACCCACCTCTCTCTATCTTATGTATATATATAGAGAGAGAGGGGTCAAGGAAGAACTCAATTGTTTATGATAATCGTGAGATTCAATCTCAACAATACATTAATAAATAATCAATAGGGATAAAGTAGTTTTTTTTTTTTTAAATCTCTCTCACCTCTCTTCTGCAAACCTTACTCCGCCATACGATGTTGTGATACCCATTAATCCATTATGCACCCCAAGAACTTCTAAACAGTAACGCACAAACCCACTATGATACCCAAGAACTTCTAAACAATAAGACACAAACCCATTATGATACCCTTCTAAATATGGGTTTTTAGACATACATACCCATTGCGATGCTTATTATGATACCCACTAGGTTCAAACCAAATCTGAATCATCATCATCTTAATAGGTCGATTGAATTATTATTTGACTTTGATTTTGTGTAGCTAACGAGGCGACAAAGAGACTTTCAGGATTCATGGTTTTGACAAGTCCGGTCTTTCATCTAACCAAGGAGATGAATGAATTGTTATCGTGTGAGCGATTGGGTGGAAGCTACGTACCTTCTTATAGCTCTTGGTGCGTTTCTCGTCGATGTGATTTGATCAAAGATTCGATTTTTAGCTCATCCCTAAGCGAGCCATGACTGACTTCGACTGTAAGATGGGTATAGAGTAGGCAAGAGAGGCTTCTCCCCGGTAAAGATCGAGCCATGAGTTATGGATGTTCTTGGTGTCAAGTCTGGTGCCCCAAGCCGTGATCGAGTCGCAATGTAGACAAGGGCGGAACCGATAGGATAGGGCTTGTGGGGTAGCAAAATGATGGTGTTTGATGATGAAAATCAATTTTGTTAAGGCATTTAAGAAAACTGCATAATAAAAGATAACTGCTAAAATAAATAAAATAAATAAAAACTTCAATTACTAAAATTACTAATATACCCTTTACTAAGTAAATAGAAAAAATTAATTTCAATAATTGATGGACTGAAGTTAGATCGCACAGTTATTACAAACAATCGAGTTCTTATTTTGTTAGACCCATATATACACAAACACACGAAGGATCGTGTGAGAATAAAAGTTATCATGAGAAGTTTAAGAAGGGATCTAGACCCTTGATCACTTTTAATCTCATCTTCATCCCATGAATTGCGCTTGATACGAGAATTGATCCGGTGAATCTTATTAGTGTTGATCTTCTATTAGGAATTTAGGATTGATGAAGGGTGGAGATCCTTTCTTACCCTTCTCACCATAACCTTCATTCTCACAGAACCCAACTATCTCTCTCTCTCACACACACACTATTTCGTGATAACCTCTCACATCTCTTTTTCTCTCCATTACGTGATAACCTCCCCCCTCTTTTTCTCTCTCAAACGACAACAATGGCATCCGTATCAAGCCAACAACAATGGCGTTTCAAGTAGGCGATGAACTCGAAATTGTAGGCAAAGAAGACTCATACATGAATAATTCACATGTGCATACAACCCAAAACCCCATAATGTGAATGATTCACATGTGCATACAACCAAAACCCTTGTACGTAGTAAGAAAGGATAAATGTTTTAATATGACGAATCATTCACATGTGCATACAACTTAAAAACCTCATACATAGATTTCAAAAGAACCATGTTTTATGGTATGACAAGTCATTCACATTTGCATGCGACATAGAAACCCCATACATAGTTAGGAAAGATAAATGTTAAATATGATGAATCATTCACATACGCATACGACCTGGAAACCCCTCGGGGCAGTGGTATCCTAAGTTTACCCGACGAATGACAACAATTGCAGGAGAATTTCCCCGATCAACCTTTGGTATTAAGTGTATCATACTCGACAATTGAACTAACATAAAACAGAAGTCATTGTCAAGCAAAAAAACCATTATTTCTCATGACCACATTGTACATCAAGCAAAAAAAACATCATATATCATCAAGCAAAAACCATCATTTATTCTTAACCAGAATCATTTTAAGTTCATTTGAATAGAAATAAAATATATAATATAATAATATAATTTGATATTATAGCACAAACATCACTCATTTTTTAGGGGGTGGGGTGGGGTTGTCAATTGACACCCCTGGTGTCTCATCAGTTGCAGGTCCATTTATGTTCATGCTATTCCTTCATGAACAAAAGGACTTTGTAACATTCTTACGAAATAAACCCAGTATATTCCATTCGAATCTCAGTGTTTAGGAGAATGTAAAAGGTGATTGTTACCTAAAGCACGGTGTCGTCTTATGTGCCGAATTCCTTCTGGATGTCCTGGAAAGATACAGTGGCGGATCCCCTCCGCTTAGCTTTCTGCTGAGACTCGTGTTCCCTCCACCCAGTCATGTATATTACCTGATATCCAATAGCCATCTTATTTGTTAATCACGGTCCATAACAACTTTAAAAACACGTCAGAATGTGCAGATAGTCTCGAAATCGTCAGACATGTTTTTAGATGCACCATCTCAAGACTTTACAAAAACTTTTTCAAATACCTCAACTTTCTAATTCTTTTTTACGAAATAACATTGGTAAAGTTATTTGAAAACTGCAGGTCTTAACGGAAACAATCCCTCTGCTTCTAGAGGAAAGGTCCCAAATCCCAGTGGGATTTACGGGGTACATTTGGTTTAGTCCAGGCAGGTTCAGATCACTTGCAAGACAACTATGAAGAAGGGCTTGGGTATGGGCGTTTCAATATGATTTCAGTCATTTGTTATGTAAAAGTTAATACCGAGAGAAAATGAAAGTAGAGAAAGCTGATGAACAATTGGAATCAAATCCCATTTTATTTCACTTATTTTCACCTCTGATTACAATCGAATGGCTAGAATCGAGAATAGGTAAACTGTATCTCAGGCTTATCAAAAGCATATGACGGAATATAAATACATTAAACAACGAAAATAAACAAGAAAAAACGAACAATAAAAATGACATAGTGGTGGAAGATAGAAGAATAGAAAGAAGTGAACTTTGGCAATGTTTGCTTATATTTATCTACTGTCTACTTGATTAATAATTGTTACAAGAAGAGAAGGCAATATCCATTTTTCTCATTTCATTATACAACCCAGTGTGGTATTTGACCCAAATGATATTATTAACGGATCTCTTAAACAAACGTTTGTGCCACCACTAACAGGGTGTGTGTATTTCGATTGTTTCAAAAAGAAGATATAATTCAGTGTCAAGGCTTTATTAAGTATCACCTGGAAAGTTGCAGGGATGGTGCCATCTTCTGCTGCAAACATCGACTCATAAACAGCTGCTGTGGCCAGAGCCGTGTCTTTCTTTAAGAACTAAGTCATTCATGCAAGAATTGAGAAACAAAAATGTAAAAACAAAATGAACTAGTACAAGATCGGCTGTAAAAGACTACCTCCGTCCCAAAATAAGTGTCAACATTTCTATTTTAGTTTGTCCCAGATTAAGTGTCCACTTTTAAAAGTAAGTGTCTACTTTCCAATTCTACCCTTAATTATGAGATGGAGAAATTAATTACTCCTGCTATTATTAAGGATAAAATTGTCATTTAGTTAGTTAAAAAGTATAGTGATTACACATTCCTAAAATTGTCAGCATTTTTCATGTGGAGACTTATTTTGGGATGGAAGGAGTAGGAAAGAAATGGAAGTCAAAAAAGTTCTTACTTTGACTCTATTTACAAGAGCATTAGTTTCACCCATTGCCCGCAAATGTTCTATTAGCTCCAGGGCTAAACATGAAAGGGATGAATGGAATGAGATTGAAGTTTGGGCAAACGAAAATGAAATATATGATAAACGGTTTCCTTACATCATATTGGCGATTGTCGTAAAAAATCTAGACTAGTGTATACCAATCAATACTTTATGCCAACATACAACCATGTGGCTCAATTTTGTTTATTCTATTAGCAAACCCATATACAGGAAGGAAATAACATAAACCAATTTTTAATGGTAAACATAAGATCACATATTTTTCATCCATATAAGTTTGAAGACAGCACACTTATTATTCAGCAAATTTTAAAAAGCTTACAGTAGATTGACACAAATCACGGTTATGACTAGTGCTCATTGAGAACATCGAGAACATCGAGAAAGTATATATAAGCATCGAATTCAATCTTACTGGACGATTATAACTTTTGTGACCACTCGCAACTAAAAAACGAAAGAATTTGGAGAAAATGCTCACCACTATTATATCTAACCTGGTATTCATCAACATCGACCCCTGGAAGAGTGAAGCCTGCCCTAGTCAACAGATTGCCTGCATCTCGCACCTACGCTAGGCAACAAAACTGTATGCTAAAGACACCACAATAGCAGATTTAATTCGTCTTATTATAAAGTTATGTTTATGGAAAATACACAAAATTTCATTCAAGCAACTCTACTTTGAGAATCTAGGAACCAACCATTCATGTTTTATTCATGATATGTCATGATAGATATTCATGATGAGAATCAATCATAATGGAAATACATGATATTCATGATGAAAGTGCATGATATTCATGATTATTCATCATGAATAATACATGAAATAGTTGGTTCAAAGGTTATCAACATATATATGGTTCTTGTTTGAAATTTCCTCTATATGCATAATATATGTGTGTTTGAATAATATAGATAAATCATATGTGTGTATGAAGAATATAGATAAATAAGTGAATATAGTTTCGGGATATCATCTACATTAGGGCAATGGCAATGCGGCAAAATAGATGTGAAGAATATACTTGTGCTAATGGTGATACTCGTGGGCTCACACCACCCTCACGCTCCATGTGTGCTATAGTGCAGGCAATTCTCAGCTCTCTACAAGAAACGTATCAGAATTAGACACCACATGCTAGAAAAAATTATCACCGTGCAAGAAAAATGTGAAACTAACTTTAGTGTTTCTCCACCAAAAATGGCTGCCAAAAACAAGCCATCAGGTTTCAATGCCATTCTACTCTGTCATACATATTGGAAACATTAGTTCACCTGGTCACCAGATGGAAATAAACTTCATTTATCTCAAGTAAATTTTGAAAATAAGAAGAAACATCCAAATAAATGATGCTGCCCACAAAAAAGAAAAAGGAGAAGAGAATATAATCTGAAATATGATTGAACTTTAATGAACCAAAAAGAAGAAATGTTGCAGTTCTTGTGGGACAGAGGGTACATGATAAACTCATCACATGAGTGAAAACTGAGATATGATTCAGAAAAGAATCATTCAAAATCAGAAACGAAAGAAACATCAAAGGATTCATTGAAGTTTTTGGCAGGTTCATCAATCGCCTTTTTTCCTTAAGTTTTATATAAGGCAAATTTACAGTTCGAAATGCACTAGCACCTAAAGAAGCACAAACCTGTATCATTGCTCCAGGAAGATCATTTGTCCAGTGGAGGCCCAAGCAACTTATTACTAAATCAACAGAACTTAACACCCACGAATAACAATCAAAGTAAGTAAAAGTTCTAAAACCAAGCCTTGTGATATCTGAATCACGATGACCATAACACTATATATTAATAAAAGCCCATGATTCTGTGAATAGTTAATTAGGCATACCTTCCTTGTATGGGTAAGTATTCTTCATCGCCTACTATATACGAAGTTTCGATGTTATCACTAGAAAAATCCTTTTCAGCATCTTTACACAATTTCACCATGTCATGTGATGAATCCATCATAACTAGCCTTTGTATGCCACCTAAAAAAGAAGAGAATTAGCTTCTGGATGCATCACATATGCTTTGTCAATTTTAATGCTTCAGAAGTACAGATCTTCTTCACTAATAGAACATAAAGGAAATAAAAGCCGGATGCAGTTCTGATGTGTAGATCCCGAACGTTAGTGAAATCATTTACTAACCACTAACCAGAAATGTTAATGAGGCTAACAACAAACCTAATTACATACAAAGATGTGAAGTATTTCAAGTTCTGGTGATAACAAGATATTCTTTCAGTTACTGAAATAGCTGACAAGTGATAAACCCCAAACCACACGTACCAAAAATCCATAATTTACTCTATTATTCAAAAAGTATTTAGTTTTTCAAAATAAGTAGAATACATAACCATTCAAGTGATTAATACTTAAAATTAATACAAATATATTTATAATATGATATAGATACCACATAAAAAATTTAGCACTTTCAAAATAAAAATACATAAATCTCAAAATTGAGGGATTAAGTTTGTAATTGTGAAAATTAGTGAAAAATATGGTGCAAAGGTATAGTTTTACACCAAATTTGGTGTAAGAAATGGTGTGCCCATTAGAGAGATTTGGTGTAAGAAATAGGTTGCATGAAGATGCATCCTTAGTTTAAAGCTACTATATCGTTATCTTTCAGATCGTGCAAAATACATATAAGAATGCATCCAGAAGCAACAAACATGGCTGAAGTCTCACCACGCCCACGTACGGAACGCCTAATTGCTTCCAAGGAACCTCCCAAACATAATGTAGTAGGAAATGACTTTTTGACATCCTGCAGAAACAAATTAATAATGAACCTGAATGTTCCATGTCAATAAATTCAGGACTTCTGGATAAAAAGGTAAAAAGCATTTAAGATATTCTATTTCTCCCCTTGTTCACAGTTCAAAACTATCATAAAATTGTTAACGTCATACTTGCTTAATATTGCAATAAGATTATATGTCAAATATGATTATATGTACAGGTGAATGACAAGCTAATATTATAAACTGAGCATGCAGCATATAGATATTTCAACTAACAATAAGAAAATTACAGGGGACAATCAAATATTATTTGCCTTCTCTGATATGTCTTAGTTGAATGGGCACAATCAATAAGGAGGGAAGCAACTAAAGTACACACACCACATATACATATGTATGTATATGTATAGATATGCATGCATGTATGTATACACCCACATACATACATGCATGCATACATTTTGTATATATATGTGTGTGTACACACAAGTATGTGTGTACGCACAAGGCTTACCCTTATCTCAAGATCAACATAGGGTATCTACGTTGTTTGTAATGGTTTATCAAACTATTACTAAAAAATTTGGGCCTATATTTGATAAGTTCATGGTGGATTCTTTTTCAATATCTCTTCAACTAGTTCTGTCACACAGAGATTGTTACAGCTTAATTTATAAATAAAAGATACAGTGGTTTGCTGGGCATGATGACGAAAAGACATGGATTGGAGAGAATGCATAATCATCATGCATTCTTCAAATAATACAACTTGTTAGAGGATGGAGTACAGATACGGGAGTTGGAGAACCCACACCTGATATCCATATTATGGTGACCATATATTGCATGTGAGAGGGAGGGTTGAAGCTTGATATAGCTGTTGTCTGTCATACCAACTTAAGTTTATCAAAGAGATGCTAGTGCACAAATATATCAAACAGCAAAAGAGGACCTGCACCCTATTAGATATTTAAGAAGTGTAGTTACAATTAAATAGTTGCAAGCCTTAAAATGATTTCTTTCTGTTGTACCTAAATAAGGGAACACATATGTATGCTGTTATTTTTCTGATTCAGTGGTTGTTGTTTCCTCTGTGTCTTTGGTTTCGTACTAGCCCCTTTCTATCATCAATTTCTCATGTTGTCCTTTTTGCTGTTATTTTGTACTTCATAATTTACCACCCAAAACGCTGCTGCAAATAAACTATTGGTATTCAGCTATGTTGATTAGAGAGCTCATTTACTTGAATATAGTACACCAAGTCTGGTTCTGGCAGAGCTCAATCCAAAAACTCGTAAAAGAGATATAACTTCATAAAGCACTTCCTTTTCCTGTTGGGTGTGGATGGGGGAAGGCCAGAAAAAGAACTCTCAACGTTTTGGAGCAGTCCTGCTTGTCTGTAGGCAACTTCTACTTGGTAATGGTGATTGTGGGAAGTATTAAACAGAAATGAAATAATGAACGATCAGAACCTATTTACTTATGGAGGAAGTAACATATCCAACTGAAAATGAATATATAGGCCCCGCTAATCACATATTAAAATTTATTACAAAGATAGAAGAAGAGGGGCATGTAAAATTAGGGAAGTCTTGAAACCTCCAAGCGATCCAGAAGGTTATCAGCTACGGTATTCACCAAAGAATCTTTCCGATTTATCAACCATGCAGCCCTATCACGCTGCCATGAAGTGAGCATAACTTTACAACCCAGAATAAAAATTCAAGCCAACCAAAATGAGTCAAACAATGCATAGTTATGGAAATATCGGAGGCAGTCGCCTATGTAATGAACACAGCTATGGATCAGAAAGAACGAGTTGAAAGTGTACAGGATATCACCCAATTTCAAGTCAAATGATTAAGACCCAAATAAAAACACTGAAAAAAGAAAAAATTAAAGTATCAATCCAGAAATATTTTAAGCTCGATACAAACAGGAAACGCTTACACTATTTTGATCTTGGTTGTAGTAAATTATCCAAATAAATCGGAACCCCATACCGTTTTATCGTCAAAATTATGAGATCCAAATCATTATAATGCATTGTACAAGTAACTTTGGTTGTCTGAGAATAACTTTTACTTGACACCATTTGATGAATTTTTGGTTGGAAGAAAATGCTATAAACTGTGAATTTTGCAAATTCAAACTGTCTAAGAATTGATGGTGAGTCCAGATACTTCTATATGTGTAACACAGTAGGCTGAAAATTTCATAACCAATTGAAGAAAGTACAACTTGGGCAAGAAATCCACCAAAATGTACTAGAAAACCCCAAAGCAATTGTCAGTCTTTCAAATTTAATTATGTTAGGGATCCCATAAATATGGATCAAGAATAGTTGTAACTACAGCGGAAACTCCTTTGAATCAAAGTCACAAATGGCCTCACCTTCACTTCAGATATCAAAATTCAAATTGTTACTTATCAACTCCACAAAACCTGTGTCAATCACTTTCACATTTGTTTAATTATGAAATAAGCATAATATAGAACACCATATGATGATATGAACATGAATTCGCCTTCATAACGAAACAAAAAGCAATTAATCAAAGATTGTATACGATTACAACGAAGAACAAGTGTGAAGAGATTCGAATTTAACTTGTTTGCGTTTGAGGTGGCGATCGAAGATCTGAACTTTAGAGCTCTGAAGATTGCCATCGATATTGTCAGCTGTACAAAAGGATCTCCTTCTGAGAACAGTACGGAGTAGGTTTCCACTGAGTCGACTCATTTCTTATGGAATCGGTGCTGTTCCGGCGACAGCGAGTAATATTACATCGACGGCATAAAAATTTGAGTAAATTACATTTTAGGTTCCTAAAATAAAATAATTATGGATTTGATCCCTATGATATGTAATTATGACGTCTTCAGTCCCTTGTTATGTTAAACAATTTATAGTGAATTACATTTTTGGTCCTTCGTGAATATCTGCTTTGTGATTTTCGTCCTCTAAATCGTAAGGTACATTTTTTGGTCCAAAAATCGTGTTTTGAAGCACATCCATAAATGACGTCCAAAATGTTGTCATTAGGGCCGCTATGTGCCCCTCAGGTGAGGGGCATTTTGGTCATTTTATGTTTCTTTTTTTTTCTTCTTCTTGCACATCTCTTTCATGAACATCCAATTTATGAGGGAATTCTAGTCATTTCTTTCTTTTCTAATAATATATATATATATATATATATATATATATATATATGGGTCTAATCAAATGAGAATTAATTAGTTTGTGGTAACCGTGAGGTCCAATATGAGTCAATTATTTTATGATATTAATTGTATTACTTTAATTAATAAGTAAAGGGCGTTTTAGTAAAATGATTAATTATAATTTAAATATTTTTATTATTTAATAGTTATCAAATTCGGTTTCCTTAATTATCAAGAATTCGGTTTCTTTAATTATCTTAACAAAATTGTATCACAGTCGTGTATCACATTGTGGTTGTGTGTGGCCTAAAACTCATATCACATCTGTTATCAACCCATGTTCAAAACGTTATCACAGTGGTATTATAGTGATATCACAAAAAACACACACACACACACTTCGTCTTTCTTGAACCTGTCGGATTGTACAATCTAGATCCATGAATTTTCGGTCAACACTATCTCGTTCCATTCATATCACTTAATCCAAATTGAGATCTTTCAGGCACGACCACCTAGATCCATATCCATGGTACATGCGTAGCAATTTTCTCATTCAAAGTAGCAGAGCCATAAAGCATATTCAATTTAGTGATTGTCAACGTTGTCGCATTCATCTTTCAGATATGAGGTCATCTATGCTACAGGAACGTTCATTATCCACCAAATTGTTTGTTCGAAGTTGCATAAGCATAAACATATACGTTTTATGTTATTTAGTTTGGATCTGTTTATTCAAAGTGGATTTATACGCTTTAACGAAAAATCGATATATTGTTGTTGTTTGTTTGATTTACAAAAAAGGCTTCAGTATCATTTCGGTTGAGAAACAAGGAGGCGTGGAAGAACATGAAAGGTTGTAGGTGGGGTTTGGATGGGCAAAAGTTACTATAGCAGTTGTCGGGGAAGGAAGGGGGGACACAGAAGAGATGGTTACAGTCAGTCAGTGGATAGGGAGAGAAGAGAGATGTTGGTCCCTGTAGGTCAAGCAATATGGCAATAACACAGTACAGGGAGTGAATACAGTGTTTTTTTTTCAAAGTTTTAATATTCTTTTATTAAAATGTATGATCTTTACAAAACATGAGACAATTGCAGAAAATAAACTACTGATTAACAAGTGGTCAACAACCTATAAGTTATCTCTTTAAAGTAACAAAATACAATGTATTCCATCAACTTCCAACAAATTTTCACTTAATGAACTGAAATTGCATAGAAACTGTAACTGACCAGCTAATGAACTGAATGCTTTGAAGAATAGCAAGATATTTTCTTTGAGCTGTATTTCTGTGTGTCGGTTTTTAAAGTTTCGCTTGGTATATATAGGAAACATCCTCTCCAATGGGACCAAACAATGTCATGATAAAGTATGGTGATGATGTCTTATTATAACTTTCATGTTGATGTTAATTCGGTTGAGTGTTGCATGTTTTCTCCTTGTGGTGGTTACAACCATAATGCATTAAATGCAACACACACTGCATTAAATGCAAAACAAGCTGATGGTCCTTACTTGGGTTGACAAGCAAGGGAAGAAAAACACATTAGAGCAAGTATGTCAGGTTGCACCTTCATTCTTGTTGTCCCTTGTGGGAACACACTTCTTCAGCAGGAACATCGTCAAAATAACCACAAGGGTGGTGTCTGATTGGTTTGAGCTTGACTTCAAAGGTCAAAAGTACCAGGAGGTCCCAGATTCAAATCTAAGAAGAAATAAAAATCCCCTTGTGGTCACGGAGGTTCAAATGCGGTGACTCCGGACTACCTGCAAAGCAGGTGGTCGCCCTGGGATTAGTCAGCTCGCATAGCGGATTGGATATCCAAGTTAATTAAAAAAAAAACATCGTCAAAATGATGATCCATCAACTGTTGGACTTTAGATGATGACATCTTTAGCTAATGAGTTAGCCCATCTATTAAGACATCGTCTGTTGGGCATGATCATATGACGATGTGAGCATATGTTGATTAAGGGTAAGCTTCATCTAATATCTTCATATGATGTTCAACACTTGTTTGTTGATCTTGAACGGTCAGGATCATCTAATAGTGTCAATTCCTGACTTCATCTGGTCATCTGCCGATAAGGTTATTCCATCAGTTATTCAGCGATAGATGATCAATAAACTAATATCTGCTTAACAAATGGGTTCTATCCACTAAAGTTGCTCTAAATGACACATACAATGTTTCCCAAATAACCAGATGTTCTCTTATAGTGTTTGTCGTTCATCAAATATTCTAACCTAACAAGGGCTCAACAAAGGACACATGGCATATTTAAATTTATGTTTGAAAAAGTTGGGTTTTTTTAACTTTTTAATACATAACAAGGAAAATGGGTAAAATAACCAAAATACACCCTACTTACGTTACTTAAGAGGAAAGTTTAAACGGTCTTAGAGTAAGAGACCAAACATGTTATAAAATGTATACCACATGGCAAAAGTTCGTAATTATTTCAAAAAAAATGACTTGAAACATTATTTCATATCAACCGTAGGGACCAAAAATGTAATATGTCTATTATAAAACATTTACATTTTTGTTCTTAAAACCATTAATTTTTTAAGTGTACACCTTATCTATTCTATATTATAAAGCATTTCGCAAAAACTCTTAAAAATCATTTTTTTATGTATAAAGTATTGTTTTATTGATGCATATTACTTAAAATTCAAGATTACAAGTAATTTTGTGTAAGTACAATTTATTAAAGCTCCATCTTTAAATTCGTATAACTAAATAGAGATAAACTGTTGATCATCTCTCTTAGTGATTTGATGATAATCCATTTTTACGTATATACGAAGTATTTATGTTTATGTCTTTTGAGTTCTAGCGATCCTCACTGAGTCTGTTCAGTGATCGCTGAAAAACTTGTATTGTAATTCAATCAGCGACAGCGATACTTCAAGAAGACAACACTCACACCAAAGAACCTTCAGCCAATGTCGAATACTGAAACTGAAGATTAGAGACTGACGAATATGTGATCTGAAGCGGTACTCAGTGATTACAAGTCTGTCTACATATGTGTGAAGACTGCCCAAGCCTCAACGAATGCTGAAGAGACCTTCAGGTTATTTCAACATTCAGCGATCAAAAGAAGCTTGTTAAGCACGATTGTTGTTGTCTTGTCCTTATACACACAAAAGACAAACTCATACCCTTTCTAATTGTTAGTACGGTACGAAGCCGACTAGTTGACTCTATTACCCACCAACTTTAGGTAAGGATGTCTGTTCATGGATAGGCTTTTTGTACTATTCACTGTAGCAAATGATAAGTCTTCCCCTTAAGGTTTGACACGCGTTCTAACCCTACCATATTGCATTAAATGTGCATTTAATGCAATGGGTATAAATAGATGTGTTCTATCTCCATATATAGATATACTCTAACTCTTAACCTCTTACTCTGAGCATCCTTGAGCTTAAGTAAAAGAACACACATCTTAGAACAAATATGCTCATCTTCAAGAACAAGTTAGAATCCCTTTTGTTGCATTATAAACAAGTTCAGTCTCATAAAGAACTTACTTTCTTTTATTTCTTTTATAACAAATCTTTTCTTATTTGCTAAGTTTAAGTGTGTAACCAAAGATTGTTTAGATAGGTTTTCTTACCTTATCTTTCCGCAAACAGTCTTGTAAAATTTGTATTGATTTTCTCTTATCAATATACATTTTAATTTTGAAAATACTGTATTTGTATTCCTCCCCCCCTTCTATAAACTGTTATACATATCTTGTATAACCTTACGGGACCAACATAAACCTAGTCAAATACAGGATAAACATCTATTTTAAATATTGAAAATCTAAAATATAATTAAGATAATCATTGAGTTTTAACAGAATGTTTAATCACTATCGTTATAACAAAATATATTATTAAACCAAAAATAACTTACTTTGTTATTAAATCTAAAATTAAATTATAATAAAAAAATAAATTAAAGAAGGTACACCAAAAAAACTGGAACTATTAAAAAATTAATTTGATATTAATATCGATTTATTTATTTTTTCAAATTTTTATGCTATCTTCGAATTTATATTTTATTAAAAAATAAAAATATTATCGCTTCCTCAAAACTATATAAAATTGTATCATATCGATACAGACAAAGAATAAAAACTAAACATTAAAATCGAGATTTATCTCGCTGCATTACGCGAGTACCCTTCTAGTAAAATATTAAGTATAAATTATTAAAACATACAAAATCTTCCACCTTTTAAAATATTCATAATTTGCCTTTTTTTTTTAATTTTAATAACATTTTTTTGGAAACCTAATATTGTTTCTAAGTATATACTAGAAGGGTATTCGTGTAATGCATCGAGACATATTTCGATTTCAATGTTTCGTTTTATTTTTTTATCTATGTCGATATAATACGATTTTTATGTGGTTTTGAGAAAGCGATAATGCTTTTATTTTTTAATAAAGTATCATATAAAATTTGCAAAACATATATCAATATTAGTATTAAATTAACTGTTTAAAATTTTTTATTTGTGTATTTTTTTAATTCAAGATTTGTATTATAATTTAATTTATCGTAACGAAGTAACTTAATTTAGGTTTAATAATATTTTTTTATAAATATAATAATTAAGTATTCTGTTAGAACTCAATAATTATCCTAATTATATTTTATATTTTTTATATATTAAAATGAGATATTTATCCTCTATTTGATTATATTTATCCGTAGTTAGTTACACGAATTCAAACATAGAGCTTTAATAAGTTGTACTTATGCAAAATTTACTTGTAATCTTGAATTATAAGTAATATGTATCAATAAACAATATTTCATGCATAAAAAATGGTTTTTAATTGACAAAAACTCTTAAAAACATTTTTTGTATGCATAAAGTATTGTTATTAATGCATATTACTTAAAATTTAAGATTACAAGTAAATTTTGCATAGATACAACTTATTAAAGCTCTACGTTTGAATTCGTGTAACTAGTTACAGATAAACATAATCAAATAAAGGATAAACATCTCATTTTGAAATATAAAAAATCTAAAATATAATTAGGATAATTATTGAGTTCTAACAGAATACTTAATTATTATTTTTATAAAAAAATATTATTAAACCTAAATTAAGTTAATTCGTTATGTTAAATTAAATTATAATAAAAATTTTGAATTAAAAAAAATAATCAAACAAGAACTTTTAATTAGATAATTTGATACTAATATTGATATATTTTTTGTAAATTTTATATGATCTTTTTAAATTTATATTTTATTCAAAAATAAAAACATTAGCGCTTTCTCAAAACCACATAAAATTGTATTATATCGACATGGATAAAAAATAAAACGAAACATTAAAATGAAAATGCGTCTCGATGCATTACACGAGTACTCTTCTAGTTGTTTTCTAAGGATAAAATCAATGAACCAAATAAACAAACAATTGAGACTTTTGAAAACTTTATCTAACAATTGCTCAATTTTCAATAAAAATAAAATCATTTTTTAAAATAACTCAATTTTCAGTTAAATTTTATATTATATTAAATCGTACAGATAAACTTCTATCTTTTATAATATGGAAAACAGAAGAAAGGAAGCAACTTATAAGTGAACGTGTTGTAAGGAAATGGTGGTGTCGGTGAAAGAAAAAAAGGGTAGTCATCGGAGAAGATGAATGGGCGTGGGCGTGGGCGGGGGCGGGGGCGACGATGGTTATATTGGGAGCGTTAATTTTAGAGTTTAATTTGTCATAGGGGGTGTTTGGGATTGTTTATTTGAAACAACTTATTTTTTTTCTACGAAGTTCTTATCAACTTATTATAAGTTATAATGGTTTAACTTCTTCAAAAACTTCTTATTACCGGTTTTGTACCGGTATAAACTGTTTATCCAAACACCCAAAAATGCTTATTACCGGTGTCATACCAGAATAAGTCAATAATTTATTTTTATAAGCAATCCCAAATTTAAATACATTTAATTTTTCTAAAATAAGAAGATGTAAAATAACTAAAATACCTTTATGTGACTTAACTAACACATGGGGCACAAACACGAAACAAACTTAACAACTTTAACGGCCATAAATAAAAACCATATAAAAATAAACCTCGATAACGATCTTTTTAATTTAAAAAAGTTAGGGACAATATTATAGTTCACTTTTAAGTAAATAAACTACGAGAACCGAGAGAAACACACCAAAATGTTACAAAAAGGTTCATTTAGGGACCTGTAGTTAGGCGTGTCAATGAGACCCGCTCCATTAGAGAACCTGGTGTACCCATCCTGACATGAACGGAGATTCTCCGTGAAACCGGGGATGAGGACGGGGATCCCCGAAAATTGAAAACCGGGGATGGGGATGGGGACGGGGTAGGGTAACGTGGTCCCTGCCCCGTCAAGTATCCAATATTAAATATATTATTATATTTATTATTAAACATATTATTTATAAAGAATTAGATTTAGTATCTTTTAAATTTAGAAATAGTATTTTGACATTTCTTCTATACATTTTTTTGGAGTTGTTTTACATTTTTTAGATAAAAGAACACAGAAAACCAAAAGTGTTTGATCTAACAATTACGTATGATGTTGTGATTTTGTTAATATATGAATTTCTGATACTTTATAAAAACAAATCTTGAAAATATGTGCGATTTAAACATGGACTGTTATCGGTCGAATATGATGTTTAACACATTTAATTTAAAACATATTATTTAAAAGGGAAAAATCCCGATTCCCTATTGGAGGTTCCCGTTTCCGTTAAGGACAAGGATGAGATGTGATCATATTCCCGACAAGGATGAGGGTGGGGATCCATCCCGACCCATTCCCATGCCTACCTACAATTACACCATTGAAACTATATGAACTAAGGGGCTGTTTATCAAGCGCTTACCCGGGTAAGCGCTTACTAAGTAACATTACCTCACCGGATGAATATAGTAAGGACCAAGAATCTTATCCGGTAAGAGCGAGACAAAGTTCAAGAGTCTTACCCGGTAAGTGAGGACGACGACTCTTACCACGGTAAATGCTTACCTGGTAAATTATTGTATTCTATGTCATTTTGGTGGACTAAAATCTTACCCGATAAGTATATAATAATGTTAAATTTTACCGATAAGCACCTAATGTGTTTGATAAAATGCCGCTAAGATTACAAACTGTTGAGAAGTTGAGGGTCCATTCTTCAAACATTCCATTTTCCGATATTTAACACGGAGGCCGGAGATCGGACTGCACAAAACTCTGCGAAAGCCAAAGAGCAGAGAGACTGTTGCTCGGAAATGTCTTTAACAACAACCTTCCATCCTTTCTCCTCCATTTATACCCACCATACCCGTTCTCCAATTTCCACTAACCTCGCTCATTGCGCAGTACGTTTCTTCCTCTATTCATCGATTTCTGATTATATTTGTAAATTTCTCTTTTGTATCGACAATTTTGATTCATAGATAAGATGAGTATTGCGGTATTGCAGGTATCGACTTCCTCTTTTCGCCACAGTGGTGCAAGGCTTCTAGGCTTTTGCCCTCATGCTATTTCTACACAAGACCAAGGTACATAAGAAATTGGGGATTGTGTATCTGTTGTTTTAATGGTCTCTTTTATTTAGGAATTGGAGCTTTTTGGTTAGGGTTTGAGTTTGATTCCAGTGACTCAAACTTGGAACATGTTGAATTCGAAACTGATACAGTTTAGTTTGATTCCTACTACAGTATTCTTTTGTGTTCCTCTTTCTATAGTAAAATACAGTTATTAGTGTTTCCTACATGAAGATTATAATGCTTGTTAATTGAAACTAAGGCACAGTTTACCAAACGCTTACCTGTCGTCACTTACCTTAACCGATGAGAATGGAACAGGAATCTTGCCCAGTAAGTGAGGAAGACAGACTCTTACCCAGTAAGGGCTTACCGGGTCTAGTAAAAAACACTCACCAACAATCCATTTGAGGGCTGAGAATGTTATCTAATAACGTAAGTAACAGTGGTGACTCTTGCTAGTAAGCGTTTGGTAAACGACCCCTAAGACATTTTGGATCTTTCTTGGAAGGGTGGGAGTAACAAATTCGATGTCAAAAGAAATGCACTTGGTTGAGTTGAAATTTCTATAAATCGCAAAAGACTCTGGTTTATTTCTATTTTGGTCGTTAGATAAAAATCCTTACAGAAACATCCAATTTTCGAAAACCATTGTAATGTGCCATGTCTATGTTGCACAAGTTTCTGGTCAAAATTATCCAAAATAATCAATTTTGAAAAGTACATTTTAGTAACTTATCATGTGTAATTATCAAAGTAGAAATGAAGTGAAAGTATGTTGCTAGTTATTGCAATTTGCACTGTGTTTGAATATATGAATTTTGAACAACTTACTAAGTTATGCGATAGATAATTCTGCATCTATGACAACAAAATGAACAAATTTTGATAGAAGTTAAATTGATGTTTTGACTACAATTTTTCCTTGTTTTGAAATGGTAACATCTGATGCAATTTGCTTGGTGATTTTTCTCGGGGGTTTGGAATGGAGCTGGTTTTCTAAGATGAATTTTAGTACATGCTAGCATTATCTGAGCAGATATTTTTATAGTTTCCCATATGCGATACTTGCCTTATTTATACAATTTACAGGAGTTTTCGATTCTGAACTACATTCTGTACTTCAGTTGGCTACAGGCTCTGAACTATATGAGGTGGAAAGAATTCTTTTTGGCACAAGGTGTAATCTATTCACTCTCGTGTATAAGTCAAGCTATATACGATTTGTGGAAATATGAATGTATTCTTATTTAACCAGACCTGTATCTCTGTATTTTGTGGAATAACTTCCTATTAATGATATAAATTCCTTTTCATTTCAGTTACTTCAGTCCATTATTGAAGTCCATAGCAAAACCATCCGATATCGATTATGTCATGATCGAGGAAGACCCGGAAGTGAGAGAGGATTTTATAAGGATTCTGGAATCAAGATTCTTTTTCCTTGCAGCTGATGCTCGATCTTCTTTGAGGTTAATAAATGGCGTTATTCATGTCTTGTGTAATTTTCTTATGAAGTCTCTGCTAGCTTCTACAACTTTTGTGTTGAAGTAGGGGACAAGATGTAAATACATTCAAATATTAAATTGTGTTTCTTGAGATACGTGCTGGTACTGATAATGTGTACCAAGGTACTGGTTATTGCAAAACTTCACCTTTTACAATTGTGGGAGCAGGGGTTGGCGGCCAACATATAGGAATGTTTTGCTTGGTGTGAGAAAAGAACTAAAAGTACCATGTTCGACAAAACTATCAACCGAAGATTTGGAAATAGAGATTTTCCTTCACTTGTTGCAGGAGTACTCAAGGTAAAGTAGATATTCAAATTTCAAAGCATTGTCCTGCAAAAGCTTTTGCGGATTTTTTAATTTATTTCATTATCTTATGTCTATTTGATCTCTTTAATGAGAGAGAATTTTAAAGAGTAATCTGCACACACTTTCCTGGAGACTAAGATTAAACTTATGATATTCAAGTGCATTGATGACATGGTATGAACAAGAAGAACAAGAAGACACCTTTCGTACCACACTAGTAAACCATAGTCAAAATTACTCCATGCTGGTCTATTGGTATATTTTTGGTGCATGTGCATCCAACTCAGTGACTGGGAGTGGGAAAGTTCATTACCTGTTAGTCTGTTAATCCTTCCATTACCTCTACGACTAGTGAATGTCTCTTCTTATTTTGGTGGTATAGGCTCCACCATTTTGCATGCGGTTTACCTACACAATGTATTTACGTATCTATATGTCCCAATCTTCTTGGAAAGTGTTGTCTTCATTAGTGAAACAACCAGAAATTTAACTTTACTATAACTTCCTTTTCTACTGACTAGGATGAATTGGTTAATTGGCACGTGATATGAGTTATGGGGATTATGGCCGTTAGATACTTTGCCGCAACTAGTTTTAAGTTCAAGTGACGTGGGTTCAGGAATGTCAATTGTGGGTTGAGACATCCTTAGTTGTTCAATTTGGAGAAACTGACAGGAGTCATCTTTACTTTGTGTTTCATGTGATTGAAGTTAGTTGGAAAAACACTCTCATGTTTTTGGTCAATACATTAATATGTGAACTAAGAATTAAATGTGAAAAGTAGGAATTTCCTTTTGGGTTAAGAAAGAGCCATTGTCAAACAGTGGGGTGAAATTCATTTCTCCCAAAGTGAGAAGATCTAATGAAGGTGAACTTTAAACAATGTTTCTTGTATGTAAATGAATGAGGTTATTTATTGGTCCATGTCGGAACATATATGCAAACCTTTGAAGCTCATCTACTAGCTGCTTTTGAAGTGCCTATAGGGCTCAAGTAACGATCACTTAGAAACACCAGGAATATGTGTGAGACATACAGGTAGATCCTAATAGGTTGCTACAAGATCATCCCTCAATCATTTGGTAGTCTCAAGTATCTTTATGGTGGCTTAAATGCCAGGCTCTCAATAGCCTCCATTCATGAGTAACAGGTTCAGGTATGAACTGTATCGAGTTACTGATCTGGGATATCTTATGTAAGTGATGACACATTTAAATCGACCACCGATTCTACTTCTCGACATTCAACCTGATTGGGATCCTTACTGTCTTTACCCTATCCAACTGAAGATTGAAACTAGAACCATCCGACACACCTGTAGTCTCTTTCTTTGCTTTACCTGCAACAAAAGTACAAGAAAAACCCATGGTAATGCTGAAACTTATTAACCAAGAAACAAGAATGTAGGCTTCGCTGACCAGCCATGAAATCCATAAAGGTCAAAAAGTCAAAGTAACTGAAACCCTTGATGAGTGTATGCTCAGTTGCTCACTAGATTTTCAACATATTTACTGATTTTAGGCTTGTTATTACTGAATTTACCCTTCCATTTTAACCAAAGTTCCATAAAAGCATAGCAGAATAAGTGCTTTGACTCACTTGTTGAAGCCTTGTTCTCATGCAATCCCACATAGATGAGTTTCTATACAGAATGGAATATAGGGTACTATTATGATGTATGAGCTAACTTCATGTTGAAAATATATGCTACATTACTGATTTATATCACCTACTTGAAAATCACCAATGTTTTCTCATGACACATTTTTGATTATTAGAAAATATTTGCAGTGAAGGTTCAGGAAACATCGTTGCTAAATGGGGAAGCTCGAAACATGCTTCTGATACTCAGAGTAGTCTAGAAGTTGGCTTAAGTCCATGGAAGGTACAAGCATTTGCGGCTTTAGGACGTGGGGCAGACGAGTTCTTTACAACTATTCTGAAGGTTTTGTTGGTTGCTTTTGGATAATGATTCTGTTTCCTGTCTATCCCCTTTCTTATCCACTTCATTCTTTTCTAGGTATCATCAAAATGTTTTAATTAAATACTTTACAAGTCCACCCTTTGAGGATCAAATGTACTGCTTTAATTTCACAAATATAGATTTAGGTTTACACTTATGAGGAATATCTGGTAACTCCCTTCAAACTAGCTTATGAAATGCTATAAGTAGTTTCAAGTACGTCCACAAAATGATTTTAACCTTTCGGTGATTGATGCATGTGTTCTTAAAAGTTATAATTAGTTTTCATGATAACCAACTTGAGGCTTTTTTTATCATTTTATTTTGTGAATTGTGGATATTGAATCTAATCTCACTTAATATTGTTGAATCATGTCCTATGTCATTCAAAGTCTGTTCGACCAAAAATATCAAAAAGGATGAACAATTGGGATGGATGGAGTTAATTGAACCAAGCTTATGTCCTAGTTCTTTTAATTTGGTTTTATCTTTGTCTTCCAGGGTGGAGGGATGTTTACAGTGGGAAGGCTATACAATTTGGTAAGATGTTGCTTGTGATTTTCGTTGAGTTACCCACTTCAGGAAGTGAGCAAATCCCATGCTGCGGCAGGTATCAAGTAAATTATCTGGCAAGGTGTTCTTGGAAGCAGCCAACTATCAAATAAAGAAGGAAGTTCTCAAGGAGGTAACAATCTGACTGAAATCTCTCTGTGGTTGAATCATTATGTCTTATCTTGTACTTTATATTTTTTTGAGGTCATGAGCAGCAGAATAAGATAGATCCATGATTGCTCAAAAGGATAAGAATTTAAGAAGTAACATTTTCTTTTATACACTCCCATATGTATATGTGTGAATCCCTTTCTATTCGTCGTGTTTCACGTACTAGGAGATAGTCAGATTACTATGAGTTGTAGCATGATCAGTAACTATTTATATTATTGTGCATTTTATGATCTCAAAATGATAGATTGAGGTCATCTAGATTTTGTCATCGACTGTATCATTATAATAAGAGATAGAATCATAGAACTCTAATAATTTTTTTATAATGAACAACAACAATCTTGAAGAGGGGATGGTTGTTAGGAAATGGAATCCAAATCACTAATGAACTAAGAATGAAGATGAAAACAGATTAATTGGATGGTTGCTGGAATGGAAAACAAAGGTAAATTCTAGCATTCGGGAGGCTAATCTCTCCTTACAAACCAGTAGGTAATTTTCTGCATAAACCTTGTACACCCCTCCCCTCCCCTCCCCTCCCCTCCCCTTTATACTACTTAGTAACCATTTATTCTAGATATTACCAAAATAACCCCCTGCTAACAGACTATTTCCCAAAATCACTGAATTGCCCCTTCTATTCTCTCCTAGAATGCCTAAAAAACATATTGTTGGGCTTGGGCCTTGTGAGTGCATAACATTGGTTAAGATTCGAGTCTTGTAAGAGCTCAAAGCATTTAAGTTATTGCTTTAACATGAAATTATAATGACACATTGTTATTTGTTAACACCATGTTTACAATTTATGAACATGCTATTCTAGTAAGTGTAGAGACATGATTTTTGCTTTCCTCTAGTTGAAGTGACATCTATGTAGACATCTATTCCAAAATGCTTGGGAATCATGATTTTTTATGCAATAATAGTGTTTGTTCTTACTAAAAGTTTGTTCTTATTTTAATTTTACTCGGTAACTATGTTCAACTTTTTAACAAACAAAAGTTTATTCTTGTTTTTGTTTGTTACCATTGGAGTTCCATATTGGCTAGTCATGGATCAACCCACCGGTATATATGTAGGGGTCTCCCATCTCTCTATATTAAGGAGAGAATCAAGGGTTCAACATATTCTAACATGATATCAGAACCAGCGTCTAGCACCACCGGGGGATTGACACTCTCGATACTCAATCTAGCCCATGTTTAAGGGGGCTGTTTTGGAGTCCCACATTGGCTAGTCATGTACCAACCTACCTGTATATATGTAGATGTCTCCTCTTTCTCTCTCTATAAGGGCTTTTTAGATAGCAAATCATGGGTCACATATTTCAACAAAATTTCAAAGTGATGGATCTTTCTCTGCACAATGTATCATATTCTCATGTCAAGATTATTTTCAGGGCGGACGGCTGGCAGCTATTAACTTGGAGTCAAGAGCAGCCTTACTTGCAGCAAAACAGGCGAGTGAATACCATAAATTTATCTTCCTATTGCAATCTTCTTGTACTGGTTCACCTCTGTCCCTTCATATTTCTGGAAATTGCATGCTTCATTGTCTGGCAGCATCTAGTTTTAGTTAAAGGTGCTAACATTTATCGATGTCAAGAAAATTCATCTTATTAGTACTTCTGTAATCAGATATATTTGCTTCCAGCCCATTGGCCCATGATATGTGACTTATGAAAACACATGTTTTAGTATGAGGTATTATTTTAGTTCCTGTTCTTTTGGTTGCTGCTTTTGTTGTTGCGGTATGTTGAATACAATGACTATGGATGATAAATCAATGGGAGGAATTAGTGGAGATGCTAGTATGAATCTGCTTTGAAAATGCAGCAGTTCACAGTAAAGGTACCAATCGAATTTCTTACAATGGGGCTATTATAACTTTTACTTATATTCTAGATTATGGTTACATGTAGAGTCTATAGATATTTGGGCCCACATTCTACTCTATATAAACATGGGATTGCCAAAGTAATACATGATACTATCACTGCTCACCTACGGAAAACTCTTGGTCACATCATACCTCAGCTGCCACCACCACTGACTAAACATATGCCAACATTCATCACCTCCCTCTTGCACCCAATTCAAACCTTCCTCAACCCCACATGAATAACCAAACCTTCTCAAACCCTTTGGTCAGGTTGCACACCTGGTGCGATGTTCTGATCTGATCAGGTAGCACCTGGTGCCACCATCTGGTTTGATCACCAATCGCTACAGTTCATTATATTTTCTGGATTGCTCGTGCTCTACTGCAACCAGTAGTTGACACAGCATTGTAGGACATTCTGATCAATTAGTAAGAACATATTTTTGTAGATAAAGGCTACTCTAAATAATATATTTAGGACCATTAGTCCTGTGCGTCTTATAATCGTTGAGTCAGCTACTCATAATTGATCACATCACTACATTGAAATCAAGAATAAATTTCCCAATGCAGTTCTTGAGGAGGAAGTATATTTGAAGCCACCTTTGTGTTTTGTGGTTAAAAAAGGGGATTGAAATGTTTGTTGTTTGTAGTCTGACATGTTCCGTCTATTCAGCCAGTTTGGGTCCACTTGGGAGATCAGGTTTGCCGAAATTGTCGCCTTTGCAAGAATTGCATATAGGTCACATATGTAGCAAGTTACAAAGATTTGATACAAGTGCACAAAATATATTTTAATATCGAACCGGCAGAATCAAAGAAAAAGCTGTCAAACTGGAGGGGCAATGAATTCTTAGCCTCTTCTCTAAATGAAAGAAAAAGAACTTTCTTTATAAATATCTAATTTTTCTGTATACTAAATTACTAATCTTTTTCTATTTCTTTTTCTCTGTTAGAAAAGAGACGAACTACTGTAGGGGATTTATTAGAACTGTTGAATTCGGAATATGGTAAAGTTTCTACGCACTATAATAGCTGCAAGCGTCTAATCCCATTTGTCAAAACCATGTGATCAAATGGTTAAACAACTTCCTAAAGAAAACAACTAAGGGAGATAACAAGTATGTAGATGCAATATTTTAGCTTCAAATCAGCAATTTGTAATCTGTTTGTTTTGTCTTTTCTAAATAGAGTTGGATGGACATACTTGCAACTTTCATCTGTAGAGGCAATCCTCTTTTGTTATTTGCAGCTAGTTGGATTATAATTTAACAAGTTACAAAGATTTATCGATAATTTTTGTTATGGGTCATCATAAACAGGGGCTAGCAGGTGCTGCATCGCGATATCTTGGTGTTAGGAGTATAATGGTGTTACTTGGTCCAATGTATGAACTTTTCTGCCTTCCACTAATAGTTTTTAACTGTCTTTCTATTATGGCTTATAACTTATCTTATAATTTCATTGTCTTTTGTATACTAGCAGCTAACTTTCCTAGAATATATCTTTTGAGGTTTGAATTTACTTTTCTTCATATTATACTTATGGATCTAATTTCTAAATTGATGAAGTATGTGAGCTGATTTGATGATGTTAAGGGGGTCTTCTTGAACTCAACCTAATGTAGGAGGTCTAGTTGAGTTGAAAGTCCATGGTGTAGGGCGTCTAGTTGTGATGTTTCCCTGATTATATAATTATTGAAATTATTAGAGCTAAAAGCAAATCGTGGATAGGTTACAACATGGTTAAAGATAAAGATAGCAACATAATGTTTGGGCAAACTTTGGTCCGATTCCTATATTTTGTAGCGTACTTTCAAAATCTTTGTTTTTGTACCTCATATGTGATATCTAATACATTTAGACCAAGTACAAAGAATAGGAATTGGACCAAAGTATGTTACATTTTTCATGCATTCTCATATGTAAACCAGGTACCTAAATGTTTGAGATGTCACATTTTCATGCAATTTGCTCATAATGCTTAGAGAGTCCTGAACTAATATGAGTCTCCTGACACTCCTCAAGTTGGAATGTTGATCAAGCCCCACTTGCCACAAAGGTTGCATTGAACATCAAAAGTGGTATTTATGTGCAAACTCAATTTTTTTCCAAAAAGAAGCAATTGCAGAATCCATATTGAAGTTTCCATTTTGCATCAAATGTTCCGTACGATATCAAATTGTTTCTGTTTCTGTTTCTGGAATGTTCATGCAATCTCAATGAATAGAATCAAACCTTATTTCATGACAATTCAATTTTTCTAAAACATGGTGAGCTACATTTGTACAGGCTATGGGGAACGTTTCTGGCTGACCTGGTTATTCAAATGCTTGGAACAGATTATGCAAGAATCGTGCGTGCAATTTATGCATTTGCACAGGTATGTACTCTTCTTGTCTTGCAAAAGTATCTGGTCCAGATGAACTCTTGCTTGATCTGAAAAAACATTCATATCAATTTTGAAGTTCAGAAGTAGTCATTTAGACCATAAAGGTCTAAGCTGTCGGTTCAATTGATTAAGCATTACTATGAAAAGAATGATGTTAAAAGGAACATTTTACATGTTTTGGCATTCTGAATTTGTGTTTTTTTTTTTTAATTCTAAAACTCCATGAAACATTGAATTGACTTCTTTTACCAATCAATACTCTACTATCTTGCTTACATATGGGTTTAAAACCCATGATGTAAACCAAGCCAAATGGACCCAGTATATCCCGTTTGGAATAAGAGTCCCACGAGGAGGGAGTTGGATGTATGCAACCTTTCCACTACCCCAAAGAGTAGAATGGTTGCAAAAAGGTTATGGGGAGGATCTGAGTGCTTTCACAAGTTTGTCAACAAAAAAAGTTTGAAGCATTTGATAAGTAGAGAAGAACTTGAGACCAAAAGGTAAAATACAAATATTTTTTATAGGGAAGAACAAAGATTTTTCAAACCCCATGATAACCAAACCAAACTAACCCAGGAAATTCCACTTGATAGTAGCCTCTTGGGGGGTGAGATGTACGTAGACCTAACCTCTACCCTAAAAGAGGAGAGCGGCTGCATCCTTGGAGACCCCCAGCTTGTGCAAGAGTGTGAGCAAACAGTTAGAAAGAATAAAGACTAGCACATTTGAAGCACTAGGAAAATAAGAAAAAGTAACCATTAGGTATATTTGAAACATACGAAAGGTAAGGAAAGGAAAACCCACTAGAGCCAAAAAAATGCCAAAAACACGACCCTAGCCTTAACTGCCAGCCGTCTACCCCGACCCAACCAACTCCCAAATTCCCTCATGCCCAACTACGCTAGTTACAGGTCCCCGTACCTAGTCTGCCACCCTTGTCTTCGGTCTCCAAGTACACGTATCAGAGGTATGACCTCAGAAGTCCACCATGTCCAACCTCAGTTGCTCATCCCACGGCCTCCTCGGCCTTCTCCTCCTCCCCACCCCCTCAACCAACACTCTTTCTACTCTCGTAATTGCATTCATGATGTCTTCAGAACCCGTGATGCCTTCCTAACGACTTTCACAAACCATCATTATCAGCAAGCAGCTACTCTGGCTAGCCATGGGCAATGGCACAAAAACCACCTTAAGATATCATCCATCTCCTTGCTGATTTATGGTGCTCACCTTGTATGATAGAAGTCAAAGTCCTTAAACCGAAAAACTACCATGGTTTAAAGTTTTATCCTTAATTTCTAAAAATTGTAACTTACCCAAAAAAGAATCAAATCGTTTAAACTTCAGATTTTGACTGCAGATTTTAGCTTTATGCTTTTGAAAATGGAGGTTTCCTGACTTGCAGGCTATTTTAATAGTTGGTGTTTATAATGCAAAATACCTCCATTTTTGACGGTTGAATGGTTCATTATTCCTACGGACAGATGGATTTAAATGACATATCTCATCAATATAACGTTAAATAACATCATATCTCATCAATATAACGTTAAATAACATCATATCTCATCAATATAACGTTAAATAACATCATATCTCATCAATATAACGTTAAATAACATTATATTTTATGAATATAATGGTCTATGTTGATGCTATTTGATTACTCTTTTACTGCTCCAGATCAGAATCTCAAGGACATACAAGCTACCATCTGATAGCAGCTGAGAATACTCAATTTGGTTTCTTTGGGGTTGTCTTATGTGATTAATGGTGTATATATATCTACATAGTTTGAGATGCACCAAAGAAAGTTAATTCATTTTGACCCTGAAGGTCAGTCAAAAGCAGTAGGGCAAGATGTTGATACTTTGACCCAGCATCAATAGAATGTTGTGATTATCATGTCATTTGAAGATCTTATTTTTTTCATTTCAGATTTGATGAATAACACCTGAAAATGAACTCTCTTCAGAATTTCATATAGCTTTTGACCTGAACTAAAAGGGTGTTGTCAAGGCATATCACGGTCCTAAGTGTGTCTAGGTGGTGGGTGCGTTTGGTATGCAGACGGGATGAGACTGAACTGGACAAACAGGATAGAGTGAGGTAGACGGTTTGAAAGAATTGTGCAAGGTTTTTAATTTGAAATAGGTAGTTTAGTAAATTTACCAACATCTCTTGATGTTTGATCCACATATTTTGGTGGGGCATTTTTGTCTATCATGTCCGGTCTTAGTGTTGCACTAAATGTGAAACAAGTTTTTGTCTTGTCCTGTGCTGTATGACAAGCGCTAGAATGATGAGAAGTAAAAAGAAAATCAAAATTTGCAAGCCAAAAGTCATTCCTTTATGAAGGATCCAACAAAAAGTCCAGGAATGAGGGAGAAACCTACATCACACAAACTTTCTAAGTTGAATTTTGATCAGTAATTCAGTATAGAGCAAAAGATGGAGAAAAAGGTTGGCCTTGGGAATCCTTATACGTTACCGGTTCAAATCTTTCCGGGGCCTCATGGAAATTTCCTTGCAAAAGATAGAGAAGACTGGCCATGAGGATTTTCCTGGCTGTTATTTTTACAGGGCCTAATGGAATTAGTTGAGGTTTGCAAGTTGGTTTGAACACCCACAGTTATCCAAAAAAATGGAGAAAGGGGAGAAATCCGCTTACAATTCCCTTCTCCCTCTATGATGAGGAAGAGTGCAAGTAACATACATCGTCTTACCTTTTTGATGAATCCTTGCTAGAAGGGACTAGCCGGGCACTGACCCTCGTATCATTGCTCATCAACTTGAACCCTAACATCAGATCAATCAACCAAATGAAAAGACCTTGCACTAAAAGTTAACCCGTAAACAGTATATCAAACCAAACCAGTCATGTATATCCCATCATGATTTGGTGTCTGCGGATATGATGTACACAGACCTGAAAGAGCCGGATGTTTATATGTAGACCTACTCATGAAGAATGTGAGAGAGAAGTTAAGCCAAAACAGTAGTAAAAAGTATAGAGGCCCAAAATATTTTATACAAGATGTTGATAGATGCTACAGGAACTTTATTACTGCACATAGATTGGATTTAGAGTTAAAATCTTGATCCAACCAACAATAGCAACTAGATTCTAACTTCTGTGGGCACATTCATGATTTGGGAATCTCAATCCACTGCAATTCGAGTTCAACTTCACCACATTCAACGTTTCGCAATTTTAGAAGCAAATTTTGAACGATCTTGCCATTTTTCCAGGTTATACAGCTTTCTTCAGACAGGCAATTTGAATCAGAAGGCTGTATCCTCTTTAAAACGGTTCCATTTTGGAGGGTGTCTGTATTCATCTCTTGTGCCTCCACAAATGATTTAATATCGAAACCTGCATCTCCCATCTCGTCGTCCCTGGTAAATGTATCATGATCTAACACTTTCTGCAATCATACACAAGGTACAAAATGACTATTTGCTATTTGTGTAGACGAACCTATAAATTTTTCCAAACGATAACACCATATGCATATACAAACAAAAACAATAACATTTTTTCACAAAATTATAATAGATCGTTAGTTGTTGGTTGGTTGCTTGCATTTGCAATAAAAGGTCATGGGTTCAGTTGCTCTCACAATGATTTTTTAGGGGGGGAAACTACCAAGAACTCGTTTGGTTTCTGTGATTTGATGGGATTTAGAATTGGATTCCGTTCTAATCTATGTTTGGTTTAAAAGGAAGTCTGGAATTGAAATCCTGGGATTTGAATTAAACCCCACAAACATTGAATTTACAAATCTCATGGTAGTAGTTGGTATTTCATTGGATTTGTTTGTAATAATGTTTTAAAATATAAAAAACATTCATTTTGTAACAATCAATTAATAAAAATAATTTAATTATTTATAATTTGTTTCTATAAATTATTTATAAGGAATTAAGTTCTATTTTATTTCAAATGCTACAAATCAAACCATCACATATACCAAATTCTTCCAAATCCGCTAAGGAAATCCAAATGAGAAATTAATAAAAATAACCATGTTCACGCTCTGGATTCATCTTTTAGCCATTTATCTCCCCAAATTTCATAAATGTCACCACCTGTGGTTAAAAAATTTAAAAAAAGTTTTCTAAACCAAGTCTGTAAGAGTAATAACCAAGTCTGTAGGAGTAATAACCAAGTCTGTAAATTAGATAAAGGTTTGCAAGTGGCACTTCTTTACAGATTTGGTCACTACACTCGCGGACCTGGTTTATAAACTCTTTTTTTTTACTTTGACCCTACCACAAGTTGAGGAGGTGCTACTTGTGGAGGTAGTGAGATTTTTGAAATATTCGAAAAGAAATCATTAAGAGATGTATCCAATTTATGAAAATGACTATTTCAATTAATTTCTCAATCCAAATTCCATCAAATCAAATGTACTTAACTTTGTGCCCTTAGGGTCCGAGCAACTTAATGAGACTCACATCTTAGTCAGTCAGCTATACATAACTGTTTGGTACGAGCTTAATGATATAGAAAGTAACTTATTTAGTAATGGGGCCATTTACCTAAATGCTTGCTCGGTAAGTGTTTATCGATAGGATTCAACATTATAATTTATTTTGATACGTAAGATTTTAATACATCAAAACATATCGAATGCAACAAGTTAATGGGTAAGTGCTTGCCTGGGTAAGAGTCATCGTTATTACTTACCGGGTAAGACACTGTATCATTTTCATTGCTCTTACCCGGTAAGATTTTTGGCCCTTCTCATGTTTATCCGATAAGAAAATTTATCCAGTAAGCACTTACCAAGTAAGTGTTTAGTAAACGGCCCCTAAATCGGAAGTTTTTTTCCAAACCTGCTCCCAATTAAAAAACATGGGTTTTCCATCTATCCAAATAGTAGTCATCACAAACTTTTGTTATAATAAGTTTGGTTATAAGACATATACCAGATCAACTTGAGCATCAGGATCTGAGATGGAAAGAGTCATGTCTTCATTCCACTCAGGGTTGAGGTCTTTATAAACAACACCAGTCTTCAGTTTCTGAATCAGATAAGCAAAAACACTAATTAATGAAAAGAATCATAACAAATATGTGTTCTGTAATCAACTGATCACAAATCTTATAGGGATTTGCATTCCTTATGGATGATTGGATATCGATTCTTTGTACAACAAAGGCGATAACAGATTAACATGTTTGCTTGAAAGGGGAAGAGAGAGAGATAACCTGAGCGCCCAATCTGATTACGACATACGGATCACTGCTTTTGTAATCACGAATCGCGAGACCGATACCCCTTTTCACCTTGATTCTAAGAAGACCTAGCAGATCATCCATTAGACAAGAAGATCCACACGACGATCCTCCTGATTTTGAAATCTAAAACCGCCCATACAATGATCCCGGAATTCGTAATGGAAAGAAGAAAGAAGGTATCATCGATGGATCCCAAATGAAAAATATCCTGGTGGAATGGAATGAGTTGGTTCGTGTTCTCTGGGAATTCGGGAAACGATTTGGATTTTGAGGGATTCAGTGGACTTGCTTCCATTTGGTTTCGTTTTGTACATCACACGTGTGGTACCTTGTTACCACCAATTCTCCATGAGGATGACTATGGAAACCTTGGGGGTTTAGATCCAAAATGGACATGAAATCCGATTGGTGATACATCTGTCGTTTTGGTGATTATGATTCCTGATATGAATGATTTGGAAGCCCTAGAATTCAGGCTCAAAAGACAGTTTCAAATCGCGTTCAAGGTCGCTCAACCAAGAACAGACCACAAAACCAAAATGCAATAACGGTGGGACTCCAATGAAATATTACAACAAACAAAAAGTTAGTTAGGGGTGTTCGTGATTGATGCTGAAAATAATTTATTGACTTATTCTGGTGTGACACTGGTAATAAATACTTTATAGATATGGATACACAACCTATAAGGGTGTCAAACTGGTAATAAGAAGTTTTTGAAGACGTTAAACCTTACTGACTAATAATAAAATGATAAACACTCTTGTAGAAAAGCATAAGTTATTTCAAATAAGCAATCCCAAATACCCCTTTATAAACACTTACCAAGAATCTTATTCGACAAGAGGAAGGACCAAGAGTCTTACCCGGTAAGTGTTTACTGGGTTTAAGATGTTTACCAACAATTTATTTTTGATGGTCGAGAATGTTACATGATAAGATAAGTAGGGGTGATGTCTCTTGCCGGTAAGCGTTTGGTAAACAACCCTATTTACCGAACTCTTACAGCATAAGCACTTACAGGGCGTGACTTACCTTACTCGTGAGTGTGACAAGGACCAAGAATTTTACATGGTAAGAGATATAGCAAGCACCGAGAATATTACTCGGTAAGTGAGGTAGAAGTCTCTTACCCGATAAGCACTTACCGGGTAAAAGACGTTTACCATAATCTAGTTTGATAACCGAGAATGCTACACGATAAGGTAAATGAGAGTGACAACTCTCGGTGGTAAATGCTTACCCGGTAAGAGTTTGGTTAACGGCCATTAGACTCGCTCAATATATTCTTTCCTCCAAGACTCTTTTAATGAGTAATCAAACGTGGTTTTACAGATTCTTACGAAAATCTTACAAGTTCAAACTCAACTCGTTATATGTTTTGAACTCATTAATATCTTAAAACTTGAACTCATTAAAATTCGATACAGTGGCACAGTCCACTGGTGGGTCCCTTATGCACCGTGCACCGATCGGTGCATAAGGGTGATCAAAGTGATGGGTCATATCGGTTAAGGTCAGGTCACATCAAGATTGGGTCAAATCATATATATATATATATATATATATATATATTTACATTATAGTCCCTGTGCGGCTGTAAGCACCCCTTGAAAGTATTCCATAATTAAAAGTTGTAGAATTTAGGATTAAAAATATAATTGGTTATTTTTGTTAGGTTATTTTCGTCAGGATCCGATGAAAATGTCTTGTCGCAAACCTTTTTTCGTGATTAGTGAGAAAAGACTGGAATAAATGAAAGCGTTCACATTTTTACGCAAATCCCATACACCAACCCAAATATTTCCCCCGAATTCTTCGAAAACAAAAACCAACGAATTTCATTCTAATCGCATTGCATTTTCATTTGGTCAATCGCACCAACTTTCGTTCGAATCTTGAACCATTGTATGGGCAGTTTTAGAGATCATAAACACAAGGATCCTTTCTCCCACTCGTATATCGTATTTGGCCGAAGAAGCATCGGACACGTTGGAGTTCTCGATGGCCGAAGACAATCCGATTGGCATTCTTCGAATTACGGTCAAGAGAGGTATCGGTCTCGCCATTCGTGATATGAAAACGAGTGATCCTTATGCCGTCATCAAGATGGGTAAACAGGTTCTCATTCTATTCGATTAATCGTCGCATGGTTTCGTTACAATTATACGAAATCAGGGTTATTGTTTATCAATTTTATGTTGTTGTTACCAAAACGGTCATTGGGTTAGCGATACTCGGCTTACCGGTAAAGCTCAGCCTCTCAGGAGGTCAAGGTTCAAACTTAACCAAAAAAAATTACGTTGTTTATTGTTTTGGTATCGTTTCGGTTCATGGGCGTAAATGAGAGTTTGTGTATTTGATACAGAAATGGAAGACTCGTGTTATCGAGAACGATGTCTATCCCGAATGGAACGAAGAATTTAGTATTCCCATTCACGATCCAGATGTTCTGATTAAGCTGGTATATACGTTTCCACAACACGACGGTCTATATATCCATCTTTACAAATTATGCACTATAACGGAACTAGTCTTCTCATACAGTACTTAATGGGATTTAAGTTTATTACGACCGTTTGCGAAAATGTTATATCAAAAAACTATTAGCAACTTATTTTAACGTCTTTAGATAGGACTCTAATTTTTACGTTCCTTAACGATGCAACCGTTTTGTTTCATTATGTGCTATAGTGCCACCGTTTGGTTTTGATTCTGGGTTCGCCTCTTTCTTAAGTTCTGCATTGCAACCTTAAAATTGGGGTCATACATTAACTAGACACGGACCATCAAACATGTGTGTATAGGAAAGTTCGATTGAGAATAACGTATTTATTGTGAACCGGGAACCACCAAGAGTGCTTCACGTGTTCATATTCATCATGAATAATGGACGTGAATTTTTACAACATTCATGATGAATGTCCTGGATATGTGGCACACCATTAGTGGTTCCTCGGATTGCAATAGAAATGTTCTCAACCGACCTACCCCTATATATACACACACACATGTGTGTATGTATTTATATATATAGGGTTGGGTTACGATGAGTAAGAGAGTTAAGGTGAGAAGCGTAAGATAAGATTTCCATCTTTGGATGCAGATGAGATGTATCAGATCAATTTTCGTGAGAAGTGCAATTAATGATGGGCAAGAGATTAAAGGTGATCAAGAGTCCTAATACCTTCTTTTATATATATATATATATATATATATATATATGTGTGTGTGTGTGTGTGTGTGTGTGTGTGTGTGTGAAGGTTCGTGTGAGAAAGGGAGTTAAGGTGAGAAAAAGTAAGAATGGATATGGACCCTTGATCACCTTCAATCTCAAACTCATTCATTAATCGCGCTTGATATGGGGATTTATCCGGTGCATCTCATCCTAATATACATCTAAGGTTGGAAATCTTTTTTTACGCTTCTCACCTTAACTCATCATTCTCACAGGAACCTATATATATATATATATATATA